TGGCTGTGGGTTCGGACGTATACAAATTATACTCCATTACTCATGAATCGAGAATGCAATGTTTCTTCTTCTTTTTTTTCCATCCACAACATACGGGCACGCCCTAATTTCAAGCCGCCCCTCAGCAGCAGGTCGTTGGCCATCAGCTGGAACAGCACAGTTGACGAGTGGGGTATGGTTATAGCAAGTGAACGGTGATTCAGACCCCTCCTCAAACAAATACCGTGATCGCTTGTTTGCAATAGGTTTCTTTTTTTTCATCTAAACTACAGTTGTGTACCGTCCGTGTCGCCAATTTGGAGTGGTTTCTTCATAGTGTTGGGTGCTGGAGTGCGCGCGCAGTTTTCGAATCACTTGTATGCTGCAGAAGCAAACGTGGTTGGTCTAGCATGACGCGGTTTCCTCTTTCTTTTGGCCTCAAACGTGCTGACGGAGTTGAGATTGCATTCACCGCCCGCCAGCGGAAACTGGCACAGCGGCCGGCGTTGCTTGTGGGAACAGCCAGTGATCGGTGCACTAGTCCCACTCCCTCACAATGAGGAAAGTGGTCTTTTTGTGTGCCTCGGAACATTGAAATCTTGTGCGGTCCGTTTCGGTACTCGATGTCTTTTAACCGGTAGCACTTGTGTGATTGGGGTGGTGCTTCGTTCCAGATACAAAGATGGAACTGAATCATATAGCCCAAAACACCGCCCTCCATGACCAATAAGAAACACTCAGGCGGTATTCTCCTGAACGCCAGGAGGTTCTCTGATATGCGGCCGCACCAGAACCCAGCGACAGGGGCGTGCCCGGTAACCCCCAAAAACGTTCTGCGCTCTATGTTTCCGACCTTGAACGGTGATGGTATTCCCTCAAGAAACTCCATCACGCCATACATTTTCCCCCAACCCACCAGGATAGAGCAATCAATTCTGGCGTGCTGAAAGCGTGTTATGTATGCGGGGGCAGTTCATTTTATATTGACTGGTTACGGAAAGCGCGAGAGTCGCCTAATACCACGACCGTGCTCGTTCCTCGTTTCAGGGCGGCCAATGCTCTTTTTTCAGCTGCGGCTTTAGTCAGTTGCTTCGTCCCACTTACGTGCTCTAATACCGGTTTACTCTGGATGTGACGAACCAATTGGTCGGGGGCAGAATCAAACCGGTTGATTCGAACCTTTCTGGCGGTAGGGACCCATGCTTTCCACCCCTGTTGAAACCGTCGAAGAAACTCTTTTTTGTCGAGATCAAATGTTTTTGGAAGCTTTTTCGTTGTCAGCATTCTCTGTTTCATACGCTGAAAGGTGACAGTGACCCAAAACTGGCAATGGTTGATGGGCCCTGCGTTCTGCCGAAGCATGTCCTAATCCACGCTTCCTCTGCTGTTGTTTTTTCGACGTCCTTCCCTTCCAAGCGTTGTACCACTGAGTCCACTGAAATGTTTCTCGGCTGTTTGTCCAATGCCGAAACTTACAAATCAGAGAGCTTTCCATAAAGAGGGTTCCACACCGCTCCTCCGCGCCATGTCAACCGAACCTGTTCGCGGCAGTGTTTATAACAAAGTAGTATGGGTTCCATAACCTCTTCATATGGATGACCGTCCGCGTCAACTATTTTTTTGTCCCTCTTAGCATTGAGTCTCCCGTCCACTTACTATCAGTGAAGTATCCCCGCGGTATCCAAAAATGACTGGCGTGTGGTATTGAAGTCTTGTGGGTAAAAGCACAACCGGACCCTCCGCAATTACAAGCGGATAGTTTTGAGTTTACGTTATTTCTTTAGAGTCCGATTTTTTTTTTTGGGTTTTTGTCCGTCGCACCAACGCGGGTCAAAGTAAATGGAGTGAACGACGAAGCGGCACGGGCGCAGTCGCTGGTTTCTTGCGACGCACGGGCTTGCCATTTCATCCGCCCTTTTTTCAGCTACACCTTTTGAGGGTGCTTTGGCGTAAAGAAGAACTCCGTTCACCCGCCAAAAACTAACGTGTCCAGAAGTGCTTAACTTGGTTGACCCAAGGGATGTTCCACCTTGTTACGTCTGAGGCTTGGGTTTTGATTGTACAGCACAGCACTCCCACCACAACTTTCGGCACAGTTCGATTGACTGGTTGATTGACCGGAATTCGAAGACATTTCCTGACTGCTTGATTGACTTGTATCGAAGGGCATGTTCGATTATGAAGGTCTTACTGCGAACATCTTGTTCACATGGGATGTGCTCGCATATGTCCTTGTTTGCTTCGTTTTTTCGCCATTTGTGGCATAGGAGCGTTCCTCCTGTCCTGTGTCTCATCTTTAGAGATGAACACGCCATTAAATACGAGATGGATGTATCCCAGCTTGGCACACATTGAAGAGCAGTACGTCAATGGTGAATGGTATTTTCATTGACAGGTGAAAACCTAATACTAATATAATATGCAAGCCGGTATCCAAAACGGACGACAGTGCCCCACCCCATTAAAACACAACACGATTAAAACACACCCATCAACAAAGCAACCAACCCCACACACATCGACAACCCAATGGCGGCCTTGGTCCTCCCAGCCGCACTGTTCTGGCCCGTACCAGAAACAAAATCCTGCGCAACACCCACAGCGACTTCAGGATCCCACATCATACTCGTGACGGACCCCACCGCGACGCTCTTGTTGGTGTTGACGTGGAAGATGGCGATGGAGACGGATTCTTTCCCGCCCGTGGGGTCTGCATCACCCCCACTGACGTTCTGTGTCTTCCACTTTGAGTCGTCGTCGTTGGAGTTGTTGGACGGCGCGACGAGGGATTTCTCGATCACGATGGACGCGTTGATGGGGACGTCGGAGCCGGAGGTTTTGACTACCGCTGTCGCGTTCCATGAGAAGGCACCGAGACTGCCGACGCTGATTTGCGAACTCGCGGCTAAACTGGCGTTCAATTCGCGTTCTTGCTTGGCGAAGATGAGTTTCACGATCGCCAGGTGCGAGTTTTCGTACATCATGGTGAAGTTGGAAACTTCGAGGGAGTACTTGATGGAGTTGACGTTGAAGGTTGCGTTCGCGTCGGGCATCGGCAGCTGTTGTGGCGATACAAAGGCGTGGATGGTTACGTTTGCGCCCGTCTTGGGGTCCACGTAGTACGACGTCGCGGCTTCGACGGTTGCGTTGGCGGTGACAACGACCTTCTTGTTGGCCATGCTACTCCATTTTGTGCCGAGGAAATTGACAAAGTTTGTGGATTGGCGCCAGTTGATGGTGTCGTTGACTTCGACGAGGCGGGCGAGACCGACCATGTAAGTTTTTTCGTATTCATTGGTAGAGTTTTCGGTTTCCATGGAGGCGCGGAAGCGGGGGAAGCCGGAGGTGCTGACTTCGTACTTGAATTTGGATGATGTGGTGTTCGTTGCGGATCTGGATGGGGTTCCGAGAGGGTAAGCAAAACTGTTCCGTAAATTTACCTCAAAACGTGCGAGCAAAACGACTACTCACTTTGACTCGATAGAAAACTTTTGCGGCGACAAATTAACCTCCAACAGCCTCTTCACTTTCCGCAAATCCTCCACCTTGGAGAAATTCAAGGAAGCGCTTCCGCTCGCTTCCTTGGAGAAATTCAAGGAAGCGCTTCCGCTCGCTTTAGTGGTCGCAACAGGAGTCAACGTGGAATTAACCGAAACGCTGGAATCAACCGCAACGGTGGAATTGTCGCCGTCTTTGGCTGAGACGGCCAAGGGGGATACGGCGAGGGCCAAGATGGCGGCGCGGGTTATGCAGACCATAGTTATTTCGTTTGTAGGGTAGCTGCTGTGTGGTAAGGTATAGAAGAACGTACAGTAGAACGCTAACTGGGTTTTTTGTCCTGTTGGCGCGCTTCTTTTATATTTCGACGGTGAATAATACAGTGAATGTTAGTCCGTCTGTCTGTCCATTCGGCCTTCTGATCATTCATCGGCTTCCACCCGGCTTCTAGAAGTTCGGAGGACGCGTAATTGTCAAGGGGTGCGATCGGGTTTGTTTACCATGTCAACAAAAATTGTCTCATCCAAGTACGTAGTCAAAGCAGTACCGGCGTAAATATTGACAAAGTCTTGGCAACGAAGAAGGCGCCAAGTAAACAGTGGGCCCGTATTACTCATTCGTCGAAAGAATAAGGAAACATCGGCGCATCAACGTCGTTTGCAGAAATTTGGCGGTGTGTTTACCGCGTCACCGAAAATTCTCTCAAACCTGGAGCATCCTCCGGCGTTAATACTGCCCACGGAAACACGGTCTTGGCGTCTCGGCAACAACAGAAGGCACCAAGCAAACATCGGCGCACTGCGTCGAAAAGGATAACCAAACATCGGGTCATTAAACGATGCACTACGCGTCGGGCCAAAGCATCGAGGGACACCGCCCAGGTGATTCCTTTCGTCTTGGCGGACAAAACGCAGACGAGACGAAGGAAAATGGTAAACGCAAAATAAAGGTCACTGGACGGCGGGACGTTGCAGACACTCTACGTTCTTGGATACCCCAACCTGACTTAGTTTCTTTGAACAAAGCACCATTGAACCCAAAGTGACGAATGCATGATTGTTGGTACAGCGCATTTCCCTTCCGCATAGCTAGCCCAGGAGGGGAGGGGAGCCTTGCAAAGTTATTGCTGTCGGAGATACTGATGTTGCCCTGGCGGTTCATGTCCCAGAAATCAGTTTCTGGGGGGGGCATCGCCATAAGCCCACAACGCATGGGTATCCTGCTTTCCCACTTCCCCAAAACAAACCAGCTGAAGGCCTGTCAAAGAGAACGCGCACATTGGCGTGATTCTTGTTTTCCTGTTTCATCTTACTGCTGAAACACGACGAAACAAACGCATATGTGAATCGAATACTTGTCGCACAACTAACTTCCAGGGCTGCATCCCTAACGTTAAGACTAATAATGTTCGCGTATTCTGCTGTCAAGGAGCTGCTCCGAAGGAGGGAGGAAGACCAGGCAAAAAAGCGGCGAAGGAGGGGACAAAAAAAATAGCACCTTCCGAGCTACCAAATGACTTTGAATGCATGGTCCGGGAATCGAACCCGGGTCTGCCGCGCGCTGCTTCCAACTTCTTGTTGAAATATGGCAGGCGGCAATTCTACCACTGGACCAACCATGCGTTGTTCACTGAATCCCCATAGTTACTTATGAAGGTTTTTCCACCTTCTGTCGAATCGTCCCTGTTGACGTACTTAACCCGGAAACGCTTTGTTTTTGGTCCTTTTTATTGCGAAGCCAATGGCGGGGGGTTTGAAAAAGTTGAAGCTGCTCCGAGTCGGGGTCTTCCAACTTCGTGGGATCTCCGAAGTGGGCGTCAGTTTGCTTTCGTCATCATTTTAAGCCTCGCACCGCCACGCCTCTGACGCGTTGCTGGTTGCTCCGGGTGTCTGAACGGGCGGACAAACAACAAAAATGACGACGTAAACAAACCAATGGAAGGAAGTGTGCAAGTGTGCAGGCGATGATGACTGATGCAGGATACGGGATGGACGGATTGCAATGGAACGGGAATTCGTATCGCAACAACCAGGATACATTTCATCCTATGGGGGAAATAGAATAGAATAGAATAGTACGAGTAGTACGGCAGAACACATCCTTATGACTACTGGGGCTACTTACTGTAAGTAGTCTCCAAAAGGGGAACGGCCACAGAAGGCCAGCTGCCTGCGAAGCCATTGCATTACGGTATTGCACCTGATGCCGTCATTCTGTCGCGCACTCTCCTCGCTCATCGCACCCACGCAACGCATTTTACACTCCCGAGTATAAAAGCACATCCTCCTTCCGCTTTTCCCGCTTTCCCGCCATCACAACAACCACAGCAACCTCCACACAACCACACAACCAACCAACTGTAATTTTCTAGTTACCTCGCAAACCCTCATCTTTTAACCACCAACCCAGTCAAATCTTGCCAACTATGCCTACTGCTCCGAGACCCAGCCTTTCCCACCCATCCTACAAAGCACCCACCACCGACACCGTCATCGACGAAGGCGTCCCACAATCAGAGAAGGAGCGCGACGCCCGCGAAAAGCTCAAAACCCTGGAATACTTCCGCACCCAATGGGACCAGGGAAACCTCCCCAGCAACGCAGAAATTGACAAATTCCTCGCCTCTCTGCAAGACGCCCAACCCATCACCGAACGCAAGGAGGACCTGAGCGCGGACGGTCGCCGTGTCTTGGAGGACCTCTCTCTGCTCATCCAGGAGACTCGCCGTTTCGTCGCTCAAAAGAATGAAGGGGAGGTGCTGCAAAAGTTTGTGCAGCTGTCAAAGGACGCTGGCAAACAGGGGTGGCAGGAACATGGTGGGAAAGTGAAGGCGGCTACGGCGAATACAAAGGAAAACACGAAACAGGCACGAGAAGCTGCGAAGAAGAAGGGAATCAAGGAGGTTGCACCACCTCAAGCCGTTGAGGGTGAGTAGTAGATAGTGTCGTCCGGTTCAGCTTACACAGCGTCACACTTCCACTAACACACATACCTTTGATGTGCGCAGTCTACAGCCGCGCTGCAACCGTTGCAAAGCTTCTCGTCTCCAGTCCCCGCTTCCGCGAGCTTCTGTCCGAAATCATCTCTCTCAGCCACTACTTCCTCGCCGGTGTCGCAGAGAAAAGTGCCAGCACGTTGCGTGAGCGCGGCGATGCTCAGAAGCAAGCAACCATCACCAACGGACACGCCGATGAACTGCAGAGATCCAGCACCCTCCCACCGGTCGGTACGGTTCCTCAAATCCCGCCCGTCACTTTCGACAAGGACAAGGACTCTACCGTCATCCCCAACCCCGCCAGCGCCTACCCCAACTCGGTAGCTCCCGCCGTCGCGACCGGATCCGACCCTACCGCTCTCAAGACCGGAACCGCTAGCAAGACCGACGCCGCTGCTGTCAAAACCAACGAATCCATCAACAAACGCATCTCCCCCGAAACCCAAGAGAAGGTGAAAGCGCAAGCCGCAGCCGCCAAAAACGCCGCCGTCGACGTCTTCCACTCTGAAATCCCCGACGAGAAGCGCCGCGAACTCGAAAACAAACTCCGCGCCCTCATCCGCGAGATCCAAAGCAACCCCGAGTACCAATCCGCCATCGAGTACCTCTTCGAAACCCTCTCCGAGGCCTCCAACAAAACCACCGAGAAGGTCCAGTCCGTCCAAACAACCGCTTCCTCCTCCACATCCACCCCCGTCGTCAACAACCTGACGGAAGCCCACAACAACCTCCGCACCTTCATCGAACGCCTCGCATCCAACCACTCCCTCACACCCCTCACGGAATCCCTCTCCACATTCCGCCAAATCCTCCGCGACGACCAGGACCTCCGCGGCCACGTCGACACACTCAAAACATTCACGCAACGCTCTCTCCGTGAACCCGGGTTCATCGACCGCGATTCGTGGAGGGATGAGGGTAGCAACATTTTGGATCGCATCCGTGCCGTGTTGGATGAGCGCTACGCACCGCAACGGGATGTGTTGAGGCAACGGTTGAATGAGTTTGTGGATGCTATGAGGGCGGATCAGGGGAATCAGAGGGTTGCGGAGGCTGGGGCGAGGCTTAACAGGGATTTGTTCAAGGATGCGTAAGTAGTTTGCTACTTCGTTCGCCTGCATTTCATTGTGATTACTCATCCTAATGGAATCATTATTATTTGTACAGGGAGGGCAACTTTGCATTCAAGACCGACTTGATCGCGGACCTCAAGGACGTTATCTTCCCCATCCTCATCCAAAAGTTCCGGTTCATCCCCGTGCCCAAAATCGTCGTCGACACACCCGAACTCTTCCTCTCCCTCGACAACATTATCCTAACAACCCAAAACATCCTGCCCAACATGATCGAAACCCAAATCCACAATGCTGTGGTGGTGGGATTGCCCAAATCCGTCGCGACTACGTCGGACCATAAAGTCACTATCGGGTTGTACCAGATGCAGGCCAAGATTGATGATATCAAGTTTGAGATTCAGAGGAAGAAGGGGTTCCCGACTATCAAGGATAGCGGGTTGGCGGCTGTTAAGGTAATTATCCCACCCCCTCCCCCGCCTCCTTTATCAACATAACGCTAACCCCGACCTTTCTTCTCCAGATCGGCCGCAACGGCATAACCCTCCACATGACCCTAAACCTCCACCCCACCTCCCGCACCGAAACCCTCACCCTCACCTCCCTCACAACCCACATCGACACTCTCACCATCAAACTCTCCCAAACCCGCCACGACGCCCTCTACGCCCTCGCCATCCCGCTCGTCAAATCCCGTATCAAGGCCGCGGTCGTGAAGGCTGTTGAGAAGAACGTGAGGGAGCAGATTAAAAAGTTGGATGCGAATGTGACGAGGGCCAAGGGGGATCCGACGACGAAGGGGAAGGTCGGGGGTGGGGTTAGATTGAGTGGGTTGTTTGGTGGGAGTAGGAAACAACAACCGGTGGAAGAGAAGAAGGAGAAGAGGGAGCATGCGGTTGTGGGTGGGTTGGAGGTTAAGCCTGATGAGGGGGGTAGTGCGGCGCAGGTTGCGTGAACCGTGACGTGGTGAACATTTTTGTACTCTTAGTTTAGTTTGTGTGATTGAGGCGTACTATGTTTTTTTTAAGTGATTTTTTCTCCTGTAGTTTTTCTAGTTTTCTTCGTCCCTTCCTTTTTTTCTAAGTAAGAAAATGTTTGTATGTAAATTTGCAAATGTAGTGAAATACAAAGAAGTATGAAAGTTTAAACGGCTTCAATTTGGTACTTGGAGTTGCCATCGTCTTCTTCATTTTTCTGGTCAAAACCGAAAGGAGTACAGTAGTGACGAGAATGCATGGGAAGGGTTGCCGACTCTCCGAACAACCGCCCCGAGCCGTAAATTCCTTCCTCGATTGTACCGATGACAAGTCCCCCTTTTCCTTGAGTTTCATAGCGCCGAGATGGACTGCGCATTGCGGTTTCCCTTAAAAATTGCGAGCTCTGGAAGCTACACATACATTTCATACCGTTCAGCCTGACATATCTTCCACCTTACTTCAGACGCAGGGGGAGTAACCTCCTCCCCCCTTGCGAGATATTGCATCGTTATTTCCTTTTTTTTTCTCCCGTCGGCAAAGTGATATGACCGACAGAGCTTCCCCCGTCCATGAAATGAATATGACCAAGGGTCCCTTTAGTCTTCCGCCTTTGTACGCGACCAGTGAAAAAAGAGAGTCATTATTCGAGGTGCTATGGGAATTTGCGGTTTTGATGGTTCCAGGTCGGAAAGTGCAGTTTCGTCAACACCTGCGGGGCTTCATCCCAACGTCTGCCAGCTGGCTGTACACTAGTCTCAATAGAGAGCCTCGAAAATCCACCAAGGGTTCCGGGCGAAAAGCGCAGTTGTGAAGGTAAAACCGGTATTAACTTTAGCGGTTACGCGCTTTGTACCTTGTACGTTCATTTGACAGGGCACTCATGTGAGCGGTTTGGCATGCAAGTGTTTTTTCTTGTTACTGACAAGGTAACGTCAACGGCACGACCTGCCAATATCGGTTTAAGCATTTACATTCCTTGCCTTGTGCGCTTCTGCGTTTCTCTGACAGGGGGTGCATCTTGCATAGCCCAGCGGACTGAATACGCATATGCACCCATACACCCTATTTTGTCGGCGAGTTTTTTTTCTGTTCTCTAACACAGTGACGTGAGGCCGCGCCCTTTTGCCCATCCGTTGGTCAAAAAAAGGTACGGCCCAGAGTAAATTTGGAAGAATCGAACGGAAGATATTGACTCCGAGTCCTACCCCACTGAATTTTCAAGCCTGCTGCTTCGGTTGCGAGGTCAATAAATGATTGGGATTGGACACCTGCCACCTCAAACCCATCTTCAAACATCTACTGTACAGTAGTATGGATAGCGGATGATGACCCATAGACTGCCATCAACATTTCCGGGCCAAAAGCGCAGTCATCGAAGCCAAGTTTGACTTTAGCGCTTATGTTGTGCCTTGTACCGTCTACGTTAATCTGACAGGGTGGCCAAGGGACTGAATACGCAAACCGCCGATGAAACTGTTTTGTTTCTTTCCGTACGTGTCGTCTTTTTTCTGCGTTCAACCAGGTGACCGTCCAACCTTGGACAAGCGCAGTTATCAAAGCCAAGTCTGACTTTAGC